CACAAGTTCATATCGATTACATTTAAAAATGGCATCAGTGCCGCTCCAATATTGGTACATCAACAACTGAGAAGATTTATGGTGTAACTGCAAAGAAAAACTTAAAACATATTGCCTGCTCAAAGCCTTCAAAATCATTGGTACTAACTAGAGGGGAAAATACTACTTATTATGATTTTACTATTAAATCAGTGAGGACATTATAGCTAGTCTTAGTAATCATATGATGGGAGACTACAAACGATTTCTGGTTCCTGAGGAAACACCCCCTCTAACCTGTATGACATGTAAGTAATAAATTAGAATCAGAGAAAACTGAATGAGATTACTCTTGATACAGGACTAAGAGAAAATACCATGGCTATTTAATAACAAGGGAGGCTTTTCCCCTTGGCTGGCTTGATAAGTAGGATTATACGGTGGATAATAATATGCGTAGGCATTTTGACCAGGAACCTCTGTGGGAAACTCGATTAACTCTGGCTTGCTGAAGTAAGAACTATACTTTAAACTATCTGGTGAGGAGGACCAGACGATATTGAAGTCAACAACTTTTGACTTCTGATCATCCAAAGCCACCTGGAAGGCAAGAACTATAAGAGTCGTTGAAATAACTCAGACATTGAAGAGGAGGACATCAGGGCAGCACCTTGGCCACTGATGATGGATGAACTGCAGACGCTCCCTCTACATAGAGGCCATCTGTCCCAGAAGTCTGCATCCGCATGATTGCATGTCTCAGAGAATCATTGGGTTACCATCGTAATAATTTTAAGATAAACCAAAAGGAAGGAGAAAAATAGAGGAATGATTTTGAAAATTACAATGTTATCCATATCTGTGAAAGGGATATCAAGCACAATGATTGTTGAGCTTTCCACGTCATCAATGATTCCAAGATATGACCTCCCCTTTTGCCTATATGCACAACCAAAAACCTTGAATGAACTATAATTGATGACATTTGCAAACCAACTATATGAAAGAAAAGATGAAAAAACGATGGCAAGTGACAATCTAGAATTCACCTGTAACTGCAAGCAATCAAGCTTTTCTGTTTATCACTCTGAATAAATTCATATGAATTTATACCGAAAACCCATAATGGTCTTGTAAACTCAGCATTCAAAGAATAAACAGGGATGATCTTATTCTCGGACTCAATCTGTGGCCAATAAAAAGAAAACCAATAACAGAAAGAATCATTAAATCCATTAACGATTGTCGTATGTCCAACCAAATATGATCATGCACCCCAACTTTTGCCACAATTGTCTATTCACTATAAGATAATCAGAAATGAAATAGATGATCAACATCAAAAAGAAAGAAAGGGGAAAAAAAAAAAGAAAAGGAAAAGGAAAAAATATTAATATCTTTACCTTCTTAAGAAAATAACGTTAATCTTGAAGTAATATTTGGGTGTTTGTCAATGTTGGAAAGAAAAATGTAATGGAAGCCAATAGTACAAGTAATAGGAAAAAGAAATTTAGTAACTTACCCATTTATGAAGATTCCAAAAGCCATTCTCTCTATCAGTAATGAAAAAGAGCTCCCCTGCACAATCAAAATTATAAAACATTATTTGACTTAAAAATTAGAAGACCAAGATCAAAGCAAATTTTCTGGTTGGAGTCAACACAATGTTACGAACATAGTAATTCATTATCTCTAAAAATAATGAAATGTAGTTATGCCCCCAAAATGTGAGTGGCCAACATAATTACAGGCCTAATTACTTATTTTAATAAAGCAAGTATGTATACCATCAGGGGACCACTTGGGTTCAGTTACAGACTCCACAAGCGAAGGATCACCACCAGCTATGCGGCTGCTCCTGTGGATCTCTCTGCATGGAGTTTTAAGATCATTAAGCTTCTAATCAACCCAAGATACGGAATTTGAAAACTACAATCCCAAAAAAAAAGAAGATAAAAAGAATAGGACAATGAGCAAATAAAAACCTTTCAGAGAAAACTCATTTGATTCATGAGCCTGCTAAAGACAGCCAGGTGAATTGGAGTCAGTTTTGAAATCTTTTTGTTTCCCCAAGTTTCAAAATGCTAGTTCTCATGTGAGAAGTTTTTAAGTCAACTGGAACAAAACAGTTCCTCCACAATACTGGCTTTAATATATAAATTCCTGCTCACCCATTTTCAGATATATAACCAACCCAGAGTTCTGATCTATCCCATGGCATGTTAGGGTGATTCCACTGAATCCATGCTATTCGATTTGTTTTTGGATCAAGACGTGGGAAAGCATAGAAGTCACTTCCGCTAACTAATACTTCTGGTTCTGAATGTCACAACAAAGTTGAACACAAACAACAAAAACTTGATCAGATAATGATTGGAAACATCAGAAAGCAACCGGAAAATCTATGGACATCATAATGGAATACTTATTTGCCGTATTCAGTTATCCCCGCAGAGTTTAGAGTTCAGCCTCACGAATAAGATGGAATTTTCTACCTTGAACATCCTTGCTTCCGAGAGCTATTGATACAATTGTTGTGGTCGCATTTATACTGCTCTCCCGACGATCTACCAACACAAGAATATCCATCGCCAAATAAATAAGTGGTTTAATAGGGGTGTATCTGGTGGGAACATTCTAAAGCAGCAGGGACAAAGGTGTTTTTTCTTATCATTAAAATTCATTATCAGCGTACCTTCTCGTACACAGACATAACGGTTAAAGCGTGCATCCAATACTCCATCGGCATAGCTGATTACGGGTCCCCCATAATCTGGCGTAAGAGGGATGGGAGGGACATCTGCCAGGAATGAACCACGTAACTTCGTTAGCAACTTAGGAGACCAAAGTCCACACTAAAAAGGGTAAACGACTAACGAGACTGTGGCATCGATACATTAATTAATAATTTTATTTGGATAATTTTTTTTTATCAAAATTTGAGTTAACAACTTTTAATCCTTAATAATTATATAAAATTATATATAAATATTTTTAAAATTTCATAGTACCTTTTTCAAAGTTTGACAATAATATATGAAAAATTTGCAGATAGTATTTCAATTTTTAACACGAGATATTGAAAAGACTTGTTGCAAGATTTAACATTAATTTATTATTGATTACATAATAATTTATAATTAATGTTCAAAATTGAACTTTAATATTTTTTAAAAATGAACAATTATACAATTTTATATGATTATCAAGGACTCAAGGCACTTTATCAAAATTTTTAGAGTTTTTTAACTTGAATTTAAATTAAATCGAAATACTGGTGTCAAATGAAGGGATTTAATGCCGACACCAAACATGTTTGTTATTTGTAAGCCGCACAAAAAGTTAGTACTGGTAGAGTAGATTAAAAGAAGACGGAATAGCACGATTGAAATTTGGAACAAACACGAAGAGCGACACAAATGCTCAGGTAATAAAATCTTTTTTTTTTTGGGGAAAAAAAAAAGGACAGAGAAAGAAAGAAAAGAAAGGAAGAAAACATAACTTGAATTGGACGAAAAGGGCAGGATGATGCTCACCCGGAGAGGCTATAGATTGCTTGTACAGTCTCTGATCCGAGTAATTTGCAAAAATAACAATACCTCCCGAAACAGTGAAGTCCCCACCACCATATTCCTGCGCCACTGTTCTCACTCCGAATTCCTTAGGCGTGATATCGATGGGCTCATCTCCCGCTTTTTCCGGCTCTCGAACAAGGACCCCCCTCCTGAAACACAATCATCGAATCCTTTTACTTTGACAACTTTACATTGCAAAAGATAATGAACTTAAATCTGCGAGATTTACATGAACAAATGGTGATACAGAAACAGAGCAACACATAACAAACTTGTACCCGGACTCGGTGGGGCGCGACTCTAGCCAAATGAGGCGGCCGTGACCGTCAACGGCGATGCCACCGAGCCTCTTGGAAGCACCGGAGACGACAGGAGCCATAGGGAGCAGTGATCGGTTCTTCTTGAGCTGTAAGAGCAGCAGCATTCTTATGGTGTGCTAGGATTGTTGTGTTAGCCATTGCCTCGCAGCTTTGATGCAGCAACTCAGTTATGGTGCAGACAAAGGCGAAAAGTCTTGTCCCTAAGTGATGGAATTTGTTGCGATTAAGGAAACTGGAACCAGCAGAAGCATGCCAGCAGCTTTACGCAATGCAGTTGGCAAACCAGATAAAAAGAGATTCCGTTGACCTTATTTTGCTGAAAAGAAAAAATTAAAATTAAAAAACGCTGGGATGCGCAACGACTTGATTTGACGCCCAGGAGGCCCAGCTGGAAACAGGCCTTCTCCTTTCGGATCTTTTCCCCTTCGATTTTGTTTTCATTTTTGTTTTAGAAAAGTATTTGACGAATGAAGAGGGTGCGCGCGCGCGGCCCTTCTCAATTTTTATTCCTTTTCTCATTTCCATTGAAGGCAAACAATTGTTTAATGCTTTCGAAAACTCATTGCTCTTTGAAACAGGATCAGAAGTCTTGTATAAGTCTAGCGATTTTGATAGGATTTTTTTTTTTTGGGGGGGGGGGGGATCAGCAGCAGCTTAAACCCAGTGAAAGAAAATATCTTGCAGCCGAAGGAAAAAATATCTTAACCCAAAACGAAAAAAGGGACAAGAACTCTTTTCAGAGATTTGTTTTTGTTTTGTTTTTTTGGGGGGGGGGGTGTTCAGCCAGCCTTTCTGCCATGGGCCATTGTCAATGTGCCATGTCCATGAGCCGCTTTCCATTTATCCAATACAAACAGTTAATACAGTTTTACTTTTTGTAATTTTGTAAATACGAGTCTTTCATATTTTTGGTCATGAGCTTCGTAAATGCAAATGGATTCAACATTCACCTGTAGGCGACTAGGCGTCATCCCCGTTAAAGATCCCGAAGTATACAGTTATATCATATTATTCCACTAATTTCATCTGCATGACTGACAAAAGTTTGACGCCAAAGCTCAAGAAAATAAATTGTTCATCCTCGTAGCACTGAACACTGATGGATACCTTCAGCAGATGAGTCAGAAGTATGCTGTCTCTCAGTCAATTATCTCTGACCTAAAATCATCAGGCAATCAATAAAATCCAATCCATAAGACTTGCTTCTGTAAAACAACTAATCAGGAAAGCCAGCACGCTTCATCACCTTTTGAAGACTCATTCTCAGTCAAAGTTATCAATTTTAATGGGTGTAATCTCATCAGCAACGTTTGAAGCGCCCAATCAATCGTGCAAAGAACAACATTTGTTGTTCAAGTGTAAACTTTATGTTTTCAGCCTGCATTCATCCCATTGTTATAGACATAGCTATTGTTTCCGACATAAATAGACAATCAAGTAAATCAGCATTTACCTTTCGGAAACCATGTTGTTCTCCTTCATACTCAACAAGGGCCACCGGGACACCCTTTTCTTTCAACGCCTGGTAAATTTTCCGAGCTTGATCTGGAGGCACAACCTACAAAAAGCAGAATACGTTTAAAGTAAACTTACGAGTATGCCACCCTTAATCCTCAGACGTTCGAAGGAAGAAATAATAATTGCATTGTTGCTAACCTTGTCCTCCAGTCCTTGAAATAAAATTATGGGACAAGAAAATTTTTCTACATGGTTGATTGGGGATCTCTCAAAGAATTGCTTTTCACCTCCTGCAATCAGTTAAGCGATTAACTGAAGACTAAATATGTCAGAAGAAACCCAGATTGTTACCTTAAAAGATGATATTGCTAACTCACCAACAAGATTATCGATGTAATGGGATTCAAATTTATGAGTCTCAGCGCTCAACATTTTCAGATCGGCCACCTGTTTCAGAGATCAATTGGCATTCATCCCATAGTGCAATCATACTAATACTTTGTTAAATATATTGGTATACTACATACAGTGTGTGTGTGTGTGTGTGTGTGTGTGTGTGTGTGTGTAAAGCTCAAAAATTCCAAAGTTCCAATGTAGTCTACTCCGTTTGGCCAAAAAAATAAATGTAGTCTACTCCGACAACGTAAGCAAACATGCAGCTATATCTGTCTATCAGAACTCAAATGTCTTGTCAGGAGAATAAAATGATAGAATAGAAATGAAATTTATTAACGAGTCAACAAATGCATTCATCTTGAGTTTTCAAAGTAAAGCTTTATTTCTTTATTATGCAAACTAACTGTGCTATTTTGGCATTCCTCAATCATGAGTTGGCTCTGCTTATTTCAGCAAAATCATTCCTCAGAGAGCAAAAAATATGAACTTCTTTTATCATTTTCCAACGTTGTCAAATTCCCCTCTTCACTAATGACCAAAAAAAGAAACCTTGTTCACCATCAAGATAATGCATATCACTGACAAGTCAGAAAACCTATAGCACTTGCTATTTTTTAATGATTAAAAAATAAATGAGAAGGCTGAAATCATTAGATAAAACAAGAAAGCTTATTTACAGAACTTACACCATACAGGAAGCCCCAGCTTTAAATGTTTCTTTAAAAGAAGAGCAGCTAAGGTGGTATACCCCCCAGCAGAGCCCCCAGTAATACAAAGTCGTTCCCCATCTACCTTTCCACTGTCCACCTGGATAACAAATCATTGATGAGACTAATCGTCCAGAAAATCCACATCCAGAACCTGGACAAGGCCTAAATGGACAACATTCTCACCAAATGCTTAGCACAGTTGCAACAGTCATCAACGTCAACTATTCCCCAACGACCCAAAAGTCTTTCTCGATACCCTCTGCCATAACCTTCCAAATGATGTTCTCATCAGAAAACACATTCCATAAGACATTCAACAGGTCATAGTAATATGAACTCGATCAGGAAAAAAAGGCAATAGCAAAAAGGGCTTGTAGAAACCACCATGCCTCAAACATGTTAAGAATATTTAATTTGTGGCCAAGGAGGGGAACAAACCAGTGCTTCCACCGTAGTTAACATCTGCAAATGCCCAACCCCGACTGGTCCAGTACTGAATGTTAAGGTTCAAAATGCCACGTGTTTCAGCTGTTGGTCCTCCTAAAATATTCAGTGAAAAACCATGCATATAAATACGGCTGAGGTACTCGGTCAAAATATTATATGAACCTCACCTGGCAGGTTCTCGAACAGTGGAAAAGTGCAATGAGCATGATGATCAGGTGTTCCAATATTTTTTGCTAGAATTTGATTCACTTAAAACTTCACCAGCTTTCTATATATCACATTCAAATTCTAATTAGGTTTCAAAACATATATGATATAACTTCCAGTCTATTAGTTTTTCGGAGAGTTCATATTGATTTTATTCCTTAAACTTAAATAAAACTTGGCAATATAATAAATATAAAGTGGCATTAATACTGGCTCCAATATTGGTACATCATCCACTGAGAAGATTTATGGTAAAATGTAAAATTGTAAGAGAAACAAAAAAACACGCTATCTGCTCAAAGTCTGCAAAACTGTTGGCACTGACTAGCGGGAAAAATAAAAGAGCATAGGCAATAAACCAAAGCTACCACGTATTTAACAATATCAACAAAAGAAAAATGATGCATCACCGCTACTATTTCCCTTTATAATACACTCATGAACCTCATAATACACATAATTATTTATGGTTTTACAATTAAATCAGTGAGGATATTATATCCTTTCTAAGTAGTCACATGAAACAAAACTACATGATCACTAGTTCCTGCAAAAAACACCCTTTTCTAGTCTCTCTAACATGTCAGTGATGAATGAGAATATGAAATCGAAGATTAATCCTGATACAGGACTAAGATAAGAGAAAATACCATGGCTCTTCAATAACAAAGGAGGCTTCTCCCCTTGACTGGCTTGATAAGTAGGATTACATGGTGGATAAAAGTAACCATAGGCATTTTGACCAGGAACTTCAGTGGGGAATTCAATCAGCTCTGGCTTACTGAAGTATGAACTATATTTTAAACTATCCGGTGAGGAGGACCACACAATATTGAAGCCAACAGCATTTAATTTCTGATCATCTAAAGCCACCTGAAAAGCGAGAGGTATAAGGGGGCATTGCATTGAAATAACTCAGACATTGAAAGGAGGGCAAGAAGGCAGCACCTTTGCCACTGATGATGATGAACTGCGGATGCTCCCTCTACATATAGACCATCTTTACCTGAAGTCTGCATCGACGTGTCGTATTATTTTTGGGTTACCACCTTAAAAATTCCAGACAAGCGAAAAGAAGTAGAAAAACAAAGAAACAATTATTTAAAATTACAATGTTATCAATGTCTGTGAAAGGGATATCAAGCACGATAATTTTTGAGCTTTCAACGATATCAATAGTTCCAAGATATGACCTCCCCTGTTGCCTATATACATGACCAAGAACCTTAAATGAGCTATAATTGATGACACTTGAAACCAACTATAAAAAAAGAAAAGATAAAAAGAAAATGAAAGAAAGTAGCAATCTCGAAATTACCTGTAGCTGCAAGCATTAAATTTCTCTGTTTATCATTCTGAATAAATTCATAAGAATTTGTACCAAAAACCCATAATGGCCTTGAAAAACTCAGCATCCAAAGAACAAACAGCACCACCTTATTCTCTGACTCAATCTACCAGCCAATTAAAAGAAAACCAAAATAGGAAGAATCAGTAAATTCATCAATGATTATTGTATGTCCAACAAGAGAACATGTTGATGCACACCCATTTTTTCCACATTTATTAGTCAACGTGGTATTTGAGATAAGCAGAAACGAAACAGATGATCATACTTGGAAAAGCAAACTATCAGCAGGGAGCATTCGTATCTGTATCGTTTAACAATTCGGTACTCAAATCCAGTAATAGGAACACAACATAGCAGTAAATAATTAACGATATAATGTATAAAATGTTAATTTGGCAGATTTCAAACTGACTATGGTTGTTAGAAGGAAGAAAACAACATATTAGAAACTGCACTTGGTCAAAACCATTTATTATAACTGGCAAATGGAAGCACACAACGTTGGCTTTAATTTAAAAATTTCATGCTAAAAGTATGATGCTTTTCAATGAACTGTTCTATTTCTGAGTACTAAAATCACAATTTTAACATACCCCCGAAAGACGATATATCATTACCTTAATGAAGACAGTAATCTCAAAGTAAAATAGTAATAAATGGGCATTCATCAATGATGAAAAGAAAAAACATAATAGAAGCCAACATTTATAGTTAATGTTACAGAAAAATAAGAAAAAGAAATTTACCCATTTATGGAGATTC